GCCATTAATTATTTGAAATCTGCAAAAGTCTTCCCTTTTCCCCCAAATCCAATTTCTGAAGAGCTTATGACTTGGCTTGGGTGTTCTATTCACTAAATTCTCTCATTCTCTGACTCCCTTGTCCTCTTTGGCTTTCTTGGAAAATTGCCTCATTCAAATAAAAATCTCTGTTTTGATCCGTCCAGGGGAAAATAAATAATGTACTTAGTAAATATCTGACCCAAGTTATGCTTACTTTCCTTTACCCCGCTATCTTGCATGTCTGCTGTACTCCAAAGGGAATTCCACTGAATTGAGTGATGTTGACTCCAAAACATATGGTTGCAGACGTGCAGCCTCAGCAAGCCACTGCAGAGCGGCGTCAACCTCTCCAGGACACTTGTAGCCAAGAATGTGGACAGTCCTTTTGACCAAGTGCCTTAAGGAACAGTCTGAACATAGATCATATCAATTCTGACAACCACAAGATAGATTAGGCTCCAATGGGGCTGGATAGCTTGTGGATCAATGTGATGTGAGAAGCCAGCCATCACTCTAATATGCTGTATGAATATAGTTCATTTGCTTGACTATATAACAGTACTCTATGACAGAGAAGGCCATGGAATCAACTGTAGCAATCTGTGTTTTTTAATTTCATTCACATTTTGTTCCATTCCTTTTCCCCTGACATATGTTTACTCAAAGATCAGAGTAACCAAATAAATTATTGGTGCCCTATAAGAGAGACTTAATCTATTCCATACTTTTTCTAACTTTTCAAGTATCACATATGTACCCACCTATGATTCCCACATCTTTTTTAAAAAAACACAAGCATTTCTCTCCTTTTCATCTTTCCCACATTTTCTCAATTCAGTGACAAAGCCTTTTGCCACTACTGTTGTAATGGGCTTGATTCTGATTAACAAGGCTGTTGCTGTTCCTTACACCAGTCCCATCCATTTTGTACACAGGATACAATCTAGTGAGAAACCATTCCCTTCAGTTTTACAATCTTTCATTTTGGTGAGAGCCACTTTAGCAGCTACCAGAGGACCAGATTACCCATCTCTGACATAGGGGTTTGTTTAACTACCATCAATTCTGTTGGTTCCCATCTGTCATTCTTAGAGTGTCTACCTACCACTTAACTGCTTGAAGTAGCAACTTTGCCATATAATATGGCAATGTTTCTCAACCTTGACAATTTTAAGGCATGTGGACTTCAACTCCCAGAATTCCACAGCCATGGCTCGTTTCCATGGCTCGTTCTCCCCTTCTTTATTTAGGATGCTGGGGGGGGGGGGGGGTAGGTGGTTTTTTTTTTTTTTTTGCAACTTTGACCATATTCACATCTCACAGAGTTGTAGGACTCTATAAAGAGCCATGTTCTCAGAGAAGTACCTAAATTTAGGCAGAATGGAGAAAGGATGAGGCATGTTACTCTCTAGGGTTCGTTCTCCCCTTCTCCCCTCCCTCCCCCCACCAAGTCCTTGGGGCTTTACCTTGAGTCACCCTGTTGCCTCAGGGTATGAGTCACTGCCTCAACTCTGAAATTGTTGACCCAGATTTTAGGTTCCCAGCAAATATTTACAGCTGTAGCTGGAGTAACATCCCACAGCCCCCGGGCTGGAACCAGCCCAGCCTTCCTGCTGGCCTGGACTTTATGGCTGCTTTTCTGTGCAAAAACTGAGTGAGGCCTCTGTCTGGGAAGGAACATTGCTCTGTCAAGCAGGCTCCATTTGAAAACAGGCTGCCATGATCTTTGGATCAGATCAGGTATCACAAAAATGGAGCGTTTCGCCTCAAATTGCCCAACTTGGAATGGCAAGGGTGAAGTCTTTAGGGAGTCTAGCTTTCTCTGTTGTATTCAGCAAGCGTAACCAGCAAAACAGTGACTAGAATAGATTGCAACCATCCATCTGGAGATCTTGTCTCTGATCAGAAGAAAGTTCATTCGCCGGTGGCCCTGCTTTGCAAGAGGAATGTTGTTTGGCCTTCAGGGCTTCCCCTTTCTTTTCCTGTGCTCCTGATCTTGGCCTTCAACTCTCTGACCTATAAATATTAAGCTGGAAAAGCTGGAAATGCGTTAGGGATAAGAAAAATATAAATGTTTGTATTATAGGGTATTATAGGATGCAGGAATAGTGTCACTGTATCTATTGTCTCTTTCTGCTTATTACAAGATCACCAGTAGTGATTTGTAACATTTTCTAGAGCCAACGTAACTATATAATAAGAACAGGCTACAGATCTCTTCAAACTATGACTGGATAGTAGTAGAAGATACTTATAAGCCAAGAATGGCAAAATTAGTATTGTGCTTCTGTCCGATTGTGTGATCTTAAAGCCTCTTTCTGGCTTTAGTGGTTTATGGTCACAAATTTCATCCCATGTAGTTCTTAATTCTAAACCAGACATGTCAAGCACAAGGCCTGGGGGCCGGATGCGGCCCGCAAAGTGGTTTCATGTGGCCCGCAAAGCCATCCTGGAAACAGTGAGGAATGGCCCCTGCTGCCTTGGCCCTCCAGTGGACCATGCCTTGACACTTGCCCTGGTCCCACCCCCTTCTGCCAAAGACTCTCAATCTGTCCCACTCCTGCCCAGGCCACCACAGGCACCCTTGACATGAACTATTTAGAGCTGGCCATGCCCACCCAGTAGGCCACAGCTACTCCATCCACACCCACCCAGTAGGCCGCACCCACTCTGTCCACCCCCCCCCCGAGGGCAACCACAATGCTGATGCGGCCCTCAGTGAAATTGAGTTTGACACCCCTGTTCTAAACCATGTAAGAGTTTGTTGATTCTTGGGATAGATTAACAAGAAGCTTGTGCTGAGGAAATCCCCAAAACTGGATGAACCCTCAAAGTTGAAGAACTTTTAACCTTAGGAACAAACCTGGAGTATGCTTTCAATTAGGGATATCAGAAGTACAGGTTGATGGAAGCATCTAAAAAGCAGTAAGGGGTAAAAAGGTTTGGCCAACTGAGAGACTGATAGAGATAATGGAGCATGATTTCAGCAATCTCTGGATTAGTCTCTGAAGCTCAGCATGGCTGAATGGTGCCAGGTGCTTCAGCCCTTTGCTTGCCTTCTGACAGATGTTCCATTCAGAGGAAACTCAGAAGCGCAGAGGCAGAGCAAAGAGCAGCTTTGCATAGCTTTCATTCCCCTACGTTCTTAAATCTTGTGTTCCAACATGCCTGGATTCCCTGGGGGCCTTTCTCGATCTGCAAGGCTGAATACTAATTAAAGTTCCATTTTTTTCTGCTGAACCCAAGTGTTCAGGGAGCCCTTCAGAAAAGCACACTTATTCCCTACCCCTCTTCAAAACTTTGGTATGCACATCCTTGAATACTGCAGGCACACTTCGAATATCAGTTCTGCTGCTCTGATGGCCTTGTAGCTGTAGCTATCACCCTCTGCAGTCTGTGAAATCTCCATTAAGACATAGCCTGAAGCTGAAATCTGTGTTCATGAATAAAGTTTGATGTCCTATTCTCTGCCCTGGAACTTAATCACTATTGTCCAGCTGGGTGTCTGGGAAGCATTTATATCACATCAGCCTTACTGAGCAAAGGAAGTGCTTTAGGTCAAGTTGGGCCATTGGAGCATCTAGGTCAGGATCCTCTGCACAAAGTTGTAGTGGCTTTCCAAACAGAAGAAATAGATGTCCCAGACTGAGACTTCTGCACATAAAACACAATCTCTCCACTATGGGAAGATTATATGGGCTGGGAGAGTGCTGCTCTGGACATCCATGCATCTTCAGAGGAAAAAAATGAGTCTCTGAATTTATTGTGGAGGATCTGGATTGGTCAACACTCTGAAAAATGTTATTCAATGGTAAATAGAAAAAAATCTGTGGCCTGCCAGATCTTGCTGAAATATCAGAGCCAGTCTCTTCAGTTAAGAGGAATGGTGTGTGTGTGTGTGTGTGTGTGTGTGTGTGTGTGTGTGTGTGTGTGGAACTGTTTGAGCATGGTTGTATATGGGATGGAAGCGACTGAGAGAGGGGTAAAGGAATAAAGAAGGAACAGAACTTTAGAACTTGAAAAGTCATGTACAGATTAAACGTGGGGTAGCTTTTTCAGCGATTGAGGGGTTTATCCCAGAATCTGGTTCCTGAAGCCTTGCCATTCAGGCATGAGGTATTTTAGTAAAAGGTAAATGTGTTTTAAAGTATGACAAAATGAAATGAGCAAGGGAAGAGGATGAAGAAGGGAAAAAACCTTCACAGTCATGAATTTAGATTCTGGGGGTGCCAAATGGCAGAACACCCACGGCATTGAAGCAGCCTTAAGGTCTCCTTTCACCAAAGAGATGCTCTTAGTACCGGAAAGGGAGAAGCAAGGTTTGCAATGGGCCACAACGATTTTCCCAAGGCCATACAGTACAGGTAGTTCTCGACTTGCAACAGTTCACTTAGTGACCATTCAAAATTACAACGGCATTGAAAAAAAGTGACTTACGACTCATGTGATCAAACTTCGGATGCTTGGCAACTGATTCATATCAGTGGTGGGATTCAAATATGTGAACAACTGGTTCTCTGTGTGGATGGCGCTTCTGGAAATCCATCCTGGGCCTGGGCAACAAAAAATTAGCTACCGGTTCTGCCGAAGTGGTGCGAACCAGCTGAATCCCACCACTAGTTCCTATGTATGCCTGTAGCTGTTTTCCCAAAGTCATGTGATAGATCCCCTTTGGTGACCTTCTGACAAGCGAGGTCAATGGGGGAAGGCAGATTCACCATGGTACTAATTGACTGCAGCGATTCACTTAACAACTGTGACAGGAAAGGGCGTGAACTGGGGCAAACCTCACCTAACAAATGCCTCACTTGGCAACAGAAATGTTGGGCTCAAGTGTGGTCGTAAGTCGAGGACGACCTGTATCTGTTGAGCGGAGTAATCCGTTCTGCTGCCAGAGTCGCCTCATAGAACTAAGCCGATCGGGCGGGTGGGCGGGAGGGGGGCTGCAGGGCTGCTACCAAGGGGTGTCGGGTCTGGGAAAGGCCGAAACCCGGGCTTCCAGAACAGGTCCGCATCTCCCTCGCCCCAATCCAAGCAATGGGGCTCTGCAGGGCCCGTTCCAGTTTCCGGGAAGCCGCTTCGTCGCCTGCCCGGGGCTGCCTGAGCGACTTGCCTGAGCGTGCGAGGGGGGGAGGAGCAGGGCGGGGTCAGGCGGCTCTCTCGGCTCGCGCTGGCTGCCGGCCCCCCTGCTAGAGAGAGAGAGAGAGGGAGAGGGAGAGAGAGGGAGAGAGAGCGCGCGCAAGAGAGAGGCAGAGCCCAAGCGCCGACTGAGGATGGCGGGCAGCCCCGCGGGACTGCGGGGCCACCTGGTTTGCTTCCTGGCCCTCCTGTTGCGAGAACTTCTCCGGGCGAGGGCAGGTAATACCGGCTGGGTGTCCGAAGGGGGGGGGGCAAGTCGGGGAGGGTGTGCTGTGGGACGGGAGCGACCGTCGAGCGCCCTCCAGACAGCGCCTAGCACAGAGGGCGGAGGCTAAGCGGACTAAACAAACAGCGACGGTTCCTTGGGCAGCCCAGATGTTTTGTGGGGGGGGGGCGAGGGGAGATGCTGCTGCTGCTGCTTAGAAGCGATTCTCGAACCTCGTGAGTGACCTTCCCTCGGTATTTAACCTCTCCCCGCCCCGGCCAGCACCTGCTCTACAGGTAAAGTGCAAAGAGCCTTCCGAACTTAGTTCCCAGAAGTTGAGAGCGACGAAATAAAACCGAACCTCACCCAGGTTCGCACAACTAACGCAGCCCGGCTTGTTTGGCGAATGTTCTCTTGCAAAGAGGGGACGGGGTCGGAAGGAAGGAAGGAAGGAACGTAAAGCTTTTTCTTCGCGGACCCGACTGAAGCGACGGAGTTGGAGGGTTTTTGGCGTTCCTCTCGCAAATTCATTGTGAGCCAAGAAGTAGCTGCTGCTGCTGCTCTCAGGGGATGTTTAACACGTTCGTGGCTTGTTTAGGACAAGGAAGGAGGCACCACCTGCTTTAGGAGCCGCCACCTCAGTTATGCGCACCTTTGGCAGGTTTCTTTACCACCGTCCCCTTCAAAGGAAGCTCTGTCCCCGGGTGATAAAAAAATAACAATAAAAATCTTTTTCAAGTCAGAGATATTGTTTATTAAGAGTCTAATGGTTTTTCAAACAATGAAAATGAGTGTGATTAAAGGATATTATTCTTAACACAAATGTCTCTGGGAACAGCTGGGAGTAATCACTGACTCTCAATTAAAACTCCCTCCCACAGTTTTTAAGATGATGTTTCCTGGGAAGTGGGAGTAAGGATCACACAAACAAAATATGCAGTACTGGTACCTCTTGTGGCAGCGATATTTTTTATTCATTTACAAAGTTATGTGGTACGTTGATTAATTGATATGGTTAAATTATAATGTAAACAATTGGTAGTCCTAATATTGTAGTATCGCAGTTTGCCAATGTCTACTCCATAAGATCACATATTGAAAATATGTTATCATATGTTACTCAGTCTGTGATAAAGTAGTTTTCCCCCCTTAACAGTGAATAGAAGAAATGGCAGTAGTCTATCACAAATAAAAAGTTGTCATCTTGCATATGCCTGTGTGTTTGTGATGGGATTGGCTTGTAATTCTTTGCCTGTACTGTAGGCTACAAATGAGACCTGTCTCTGTGGGGTTTGTCCTGTTCCTGACACCAACTTATCCATCTTCTAAAATATTCTGTTCATTGTCTTCTCTCAGTCAGTTGTCTTAGATTGTTTTGATACCATTGGTCTCATTGGGCTAATTTAAGAACTCTCTCTCATCCTGGTGCTTTTGCTTTTCAGCAAAGCTAGAGTATCCCCATGATACAGTTCCCTTTTTACTGGCATTATAAAAGAATCTACAGTTGGAGAATAAGTTTAAAATTAAGATATTATGTTGCAGACCCTGGTTTAAAAAACCACCCCCAGATTAAAACTTCTCTAAAACTATTTCTCAGAAGAAGGCAACTTCAGATAAAACCATTTCAGAAAAAAATATGTATGAATTAACAATTACATATTTACCCAGAAGCAGAAACATCTTGGATAAAGTGTTAGATATTTCAGGCACATATGTCCCAGAAATTTAAAGAATCCTTTTATAAGGAGCTTTTATAGAATGACGTTGCTTCCCCACACCATACTTCTAATTGACCTTCAGGAAGACTGCTATGAGCTATACATTTGAAGGCTGCTTTACATTATATTGTTTCCAAGCTACTGGCTCTTACAGTCCTATTTGTGGCACTTTAAAGACATACTTAAAAACTGCTGTTTGTGCAGAAATATGCTTTGGAGAACTTTAAACAGGTATCTTGCAGTATTTTACTGGAGAGAACAGTGTTCCAAACTTCCAGTTCTCCAAACAAAAACTTGCAATTGATTACTATAACTTAAGAGTGTTCTGGTCTTAGAAATCCAAGAATCTTGGGAAAAGAGCATAGTTGGATGAAATGCCAATTGACCTTGCCCTTTTCCCAAGATTCTTCATTTAGTTTTCTGTACCTCCAGCAAAAGTAACATTTCCTTCTGATGAAGCTCAAATACCAATGATTGCATGGACATGTTTTTGTAGCTTACTTGACAAAAGTGTAGAAGAAGTTTGCCTTAGTTGTCTTCTGTTTTTCTATCTTTACCTCCTGGTCTTGAAATTCCCAGGGACATCCTCCCATCCAATTACTAACCAGGGCTGACCCTGTTTAGCTTCTGAGGATCAGCAAGCTTACTTAAATACTATTTTCTCCAGAACTGGTACTGTACTCCATGATTACTGAACCTGCTAAGTTCTTAAATTGGTGGTTGAAAGTTCCCCCAAACCTTCTGTTTCATTGCTTTTGTGGGTGTCCTTTTGACTGTTTAAGGATTTACACATAACCAGCTGAATTGGTTGAATTTCCATATGAAACTGTATTCTAGCAGAGTAAGTGATTTTGTCTATTCCACAAATTGGCATTGTTTGTTGTACTTTGAAGAATAAAATTTATTGCTGGAAATCTTTGGTGGACTACAGCCCACTTCATCTGGAATTTATTATGCTATCACTTCTAGCACTTAATTCTCTTCCTCCTCCTGTCTCCATTTTTGGACCACCTTATCCTCTATGAGGCATTGCTATTACAAGTGAAGCAGGTACCATAGTTACTAGCAGCAGAATCTTCTTGATCAGGAAGATGGGGAAGGGGGCTGTGCCCCCTGATGTGGCATTTCAAGCTTCAAGTCCTCAGTGAGTCCAAAACAGCATTGCCATCTCCCTGGGGTTTTGTTCCGGTGTTTCTTCCCTGCCAGTCAGTCATTCATTCCATCCATTCAGGCATATTTTTTGGATGAGGAATGATTATGGAGGGGGACTGAGCTGCCAGTCTTTAGTCCTTAATAAACTGCTGTATTAAATTCCCCCTAAGGAAAATCTGAGAAAGGGATCTTTGCAATGAATCAGAAGCAAATAGTGGCTGAGCTCCTGTCCAGAAATGTTGCTGTTCATTGAATAAAGAACTCCAAGGAGATAAAAGGGATGACTGATGACAGCAGCAAGCTGAGATCCAGTTTGATGGGACAATTATGCTCATGCAGCTCTACTAAAGCTGGATATATCGTCTTATAGAATGACAACCCCCTTTACCTCACCCTTGGCTTTGGCTATTCCCTGGAAGCATCAGCTTAAATCTGTATTGTTTACAATAGCATCTGAAGAAAAGTCATAAGGGAATTGTTATCCTGCCTAGTTTTAATCCGCTGCTTAATTCTGTAGTAGCTCTAGCCTTCTGTAAGTTTATTTTAATTCATTGTTGTTTTTTCTCCTCCTTAAATGTGGTATCTGCTTTTTTTTTCTTTCTGAGTTGTGTTTTTCTCTATTCCCATATCAGCTGCTTTTTTTGGAAAGGCAGTGAGGAACTATGGTTTCAGCAAAATACAGTAAATTGGTAACAGGGAACAAAGTTATAAAAATCTCATAGCCCTCCCTTAGATCTTACTTCCAGGTGGCTGACGAGAAGCCTTGCACAGAAGGGAAGTATAAAAGCAGATTTTTTTTTTGTAGCTGCCCATGAAACTGTGGTAAATAATCCTAATGAGCATCCCAGTAAGATACCTGAACACAATTATTTAAAAATGTATAGATGTATATGTGCGTGTATTCAATTTCACTATAATTTTCAGTGTAGCTATATCTTTTTTCAAATAAGTATCAAATAAGATTGAAAAAAAATGCTGTATCGTTACAATGACCCTCAACAATGAATGCCTCCTATTATGGGTGTTTCTTTCCATCGTGCTCTTTAAGAATACTCTCTTATGTTATTTCTTATTTTTTAAAACATTTTGCCAGGGTGGCTTATGTTAGCAACTCAGAAGCATTGACAATATAGAGAGGGGTAGATAATCTGGTGGCTTCTGGCTATTTATCTATAACTTCTGTGATCCCTGATCAAGCCTGGACTCTTTTGGACATTCAGTCTCTTCCTTAAAAATCTTGTGATCAGGAAACTACAAAAGCGCAAATCAAATAAATGTGCACATTTTAACCTCTTCTTCTCATTGCTGAGAAGTTTAATTCTTTTTTATTGTCTGCTGTCTGTGCACACGCCCATTCACAATGGGACATTCCTGGCAGGAATGTTTTTCAGGGAAGCTATTAAAACAACATCAATAACAACAAAAATAGTTTGATTGAAAACAAATGAAATAGGGAGAGATGCCAATTCAGGCTCCCTGGTCTCTGTCATTCTCTAATTTATTGTTTCCCCTCTCTCTCAGGATTCAAAAGGATTGTACCTTACCAGCTGTTCCTTTCTTTAATCCAAAATTATCTAATCTTGGATCAGGTGCAAAAGAATGACTCAAGAAGAGAACATAGGATTAAGGGACAAGCCCAGAAATTATTTTTCAGCTCTGGAGCTGAAAATCAAAACCTATTGTAAACCTTATAGATTAATTTATATCCTGTTTTCTGCATCACAAATCCTGATGAAAAACTCTGGAAAATTTTAAAGTTTAATTCCCCCTTTATATAATTTCTTTCCCTCATGCTACCCAAGAACCATCTCTTATATTGTTTCTTATTTTTCAAACATTTTGCCATGTTGCTTGATTTTCAACTGCACATAAACAAGGAATATATTCCTTCTGGAAAAGAAAATACATATATTTTCTTTGTGGACCAGATTATGTTTGCCTGACACCTACTGCTTCTATTTTATGTTGAGCTTTTTGATTTCAGCAATTAGATTTGGAAGGGAGGAGCAAGTTCTTTGTTATTCAGCTGACACTGCCAATCAATAAGAGGTTTTATAGCAAATTAGCCTCTTCTATCTCTCCATCCCTGTTGTAATCCATGACATTCCCTATTTTGCTTGTTAAAAATGGGGATCGCATCCTCT